AATTATTTAGCTATTTCTTATGTTTATTTTAATTAAGGGAAAAACTTAAAAAATTAGGATATATAGTAGTAACTCTTTTTGATCTCCTATTAACTTGTTTTGAAGTCCTGTTATACTCCCAAGATCTTGTTTTGACTGATTAGACTCTGTTCCATTCTGTGCGATAGTAGCAAGTTTGAAGGTATAGGCAACTAATTTGAAGGCAATAAGATTCACAAAGATGCCCATTCTGGTTTGACTATTGTCTCCTTTGGAAGTCCTGTAATGTTCACAATGCCTAAGTTTTATTGGTCTTGTTCTCCACTGTTTTGTCCGGCTTTATAATATCTAATGAGATGGACAATTCCTTTTAAGGAAACAAGAGACAATGTTGATAACCATTGTTGATGACCTTGTACTCTGTTCTACATCATGTGTTATGTCTATCCTTGGTTTTGACTTACAGCTTTGTTTTGCCATATTTGACTTTATTCTCTCCCCCCCAAAAAAGTAATAAGAACTAAGGAGTAATAAAATCCAAAAAGTGTAAATTTTGTTATAAAAAAGAGAGGGAGGGAAAAAAAAAGAGCTCTAACGGATATAACAGCAAGTGTGTTTAGGGATGTTAAATAGCTGACTATATTAATGTTTTTGGATCATTGAACACAGCTGTTTGCAGTCTCTCCGTTTGAATGTCTACTTTGTATTCTTTGATACTGTGATTTGAGCAACTATTTCCAAGATGATATTATGTAATCTATTAACAGGTGATTTCTTACTGTTATGTGTTTTTTTTTTTTGTAGTTCTGTATTATGTGTAACCTTACACTGCTTTGTTTTGTTTTGTGTTTTTCTCTTTATCCTCTTAAATAAAAAAAAAATCTATGGATATTGGGTAAAACTAGGTAATGATATTTTGTAAAAGATTATTTAATATGTTGTTTATTTTTGAATGCTTTCTTCTGTTACATGAATACATACACTTGTCTTTATGCTGATTCTATGTTATTTAAAATATTTTTAAAAATTTACAATAAAATAATGATTTTATTTATATTGTATTTATACTATTTGTATGTATTTATATTATACAATCTGGTGTTATGATACATATTTGCATTGTACAGTGATTAAATTATGCTACTTGACATATCCACTACCTTTGATTAGGAATCTTTGCAATACATTTTGAAATTGGGAATTGTAAAGTTTTCGGATTTATTCTTCTTTCTCAACATTACTTTCGGTTAGTTGGACTCTTTTGTACATTTTTCTACTTATTTTAAAAATGCCACTGGGATTTTTGAAAAAAGATAAGATCAAATTAATATATAGTGTAATCTATAGATTGTGTAATGTAAATATTTGAAAAATATTACATTTCCTAGTCAATGAATGTGGGATAGCTTTCCACTTATTTGTGTCTTTATTTTCTCTCATCAATGTATTACTTCAGTCTACAAATCTTGCACATTCTTGGTAGATTTTTCCTATTTATTCTTTTCATACTATTGTAAACAGGTTTTTTCTTAATTTTCTTTTTTTAATTGATTTTCATTATGTAGAAAACAGCTGATTATTGCTTGTGATATATTCTGCAATTCTGCTGAATTTAATTGGCATGAAGGGCTTTTTTTGTGGAAGCTTACATCTAAACTCCTCAAAGTATACACTTAATAACACCCTGTTCTTTGTGTGCCAGTTATACTTCAAAAAAGCTGTCAAGAGATTTATCCAATGAACTGAAACATTACACCAATACACCTGAGATTACAAATAAAAGAGTCTGAATTCACTTTCAGGTTTCAGATGTGATGCCTTGTGGGGGAGGTGATGCACAAGTTGTAGGAGTTATATGGTAAGTACATAATAAATAAAAAATAGCAGTTGAGTATATGACTAAATCACAGTGTGCATAAATGAATGTTAACATATACGTGTCATAAACTATTAGACATATCAAATGGTATGAGAAATACTTGTTGACTATGATTACTTGATTTATATTACAGCATTAAAAAACCCATTGGAAAAATTATTTTCGTCTATTTTCTTTGCATAGTTTCACTTCCTTCTCTACTGTGCACAGCCCCACTTCAGAGTGTACAGGGAACCTCAGCACTATCCCCAGGTGTCATGAGATACCAGTTCTCTCTTGTACCTATGTGCTTCATACTTTATTTTTCCTTGAAGTCTGTAACTTGCCTCAACTCTTTATAAATTTTACCTTTTAGTCAGCACAAGATTGTTGGACAAGATTTTAGGATGTGCTGTGTTTGTTACTGGGGATTCTGAACAAACAGCTAAGGGGTTATTCTTTGTTTCAGTTTTTTTAAAATTTTATTTTGAATGTATACAACAGAACAAGACAGAATAAAGCCAACTAAGATCGTACAGTGAAATTGGTACAGAACTTCACAGCAGGTTAACAGGATAAGAGTTATAGGTATCACAGTACATTTTGTTATCTTTATAATAGTTGTTCTTTCAATCATGTATATCAAACGGAGATAAAATATAGAACACTATAGAAGTTATCAAAAACAGAATACTGAATAGAACAGTAACATTAATCAGAAAAGAGCAAAACAGTAATAAAAATATTTGCCTTCAATGAGATGGTAGAAGGAAGTCCCCCTGATTTGCTATGGTCAACCTCCCAAAAGACGCTCAGATTTCTGGTTCCTATTTGCTAATGGGTGGTGGTGGGAGGAGCGGAGAAGGGGGGTAGGGGAAGTAGGTTATTGACACTAGGCTGTGCATCAGTAGGTTCACTATTGCTTAGCAGGGAGGCAGGCTGGTTGTTTGCTTTCACAGAGTCCTAAGTTCCAACATAGTATGGATCTCAGGAGCTGCTGCCGGTTCTCCCCCTGGAGGGGCCACAGTCTGCCACACTGCCACTGATTACCAGGGAAGGGAGGTGCTTGCTTGGCTTCCCAGGGTCCTAGGTTTCAGCATGTTGCAGATCTCAGGAGCTGCTCCTGGCTCTCCCCCTAGAAGGCCTGCAATCTGCCACACTGCCACCGATTATCAGGGTTCATTTTTTCATCCTTATCTTCACACAACTTTCTTCAAAGCTAGGATGACCCTGTGTCCTGAGCACCTTCACGAGGATAATCAAGAATCTGAATTGTGACATCTCTGTTCCTATTCAGGCTTTTGTTTTGGCAAAGCAAGTCACTCATGGCAAGAGGAGTCCTAATGGTGTTGCTTGGCAGTGGACTGTGTAGAAATTAGATGTGCAAGGCTTTTTATCTTTATGGCCTACTGAATGAACTGTTGCCTTGAGCTAAGTTTAAAAGCAAGATGGGGATAATCACAATGCACTCCTGGTATGAGTGAGAAACTGTGGTTCAGACTTGCAAACACTGGCTTTATGGAGAAACGCTAATGTCTCCCAGAAATGGCACAGAATCTCAGTACATTCTTCTCTCTGGTGCTTCTTGCCTAGAGAGTCTGTCTCTCTGTGATGTATGCACATGTTGCAGGCACCATGCAGATGTCCTTGATGTCCTTTGAAGTTATCTACCTGTTGCTGCCACATCACTGTTACTTGTGTGTAGGAAACTGAGTCAGAGGAAATTGAACTTGCACACTTCCTAAGTAACTCCAAAATGTTTTTAAATTTTGTTTATGCAAATGAACCTAAAGCATGTGAAATACACTGAACCATGGCATTTCATCAAAATATAAATGCCTATGCCAAAAATATAATGTTCATATGAAGAAGAGATAATGTTAAACCACTGCTGTTGCATGTGTGTCATACTAAAATAGTAGAGTAATTTATAATATATTGCAGCCTGGGACTGTTAATGGCTCTGTATTTAAACATTTGGATGGCTTTTATGACTTTTTGGTCTACACAGTGAGGGTCTCAGATGAATTCTAGGCTTATTAAAGTTGTGAACTATCCATTCCTGGAACAGAGATGACTTAGTCTTTTTGTGATATAGTAGACTCAGTCAGTGATGGCATCTTAGACTTGAAATTAGTTGTTATCATGTTTTCTGCAAGATATTTTGTGTGAACTTGTTCTTTTATTTATTAGTGAATGTCTAAAAATTATTCTTAAATTAAGATTATTTTAGAGTCCAAATGTTCCCATAGTGTATTCTAAATATATATATCCATGGCATATAAAAAGAAGACGAGATGATATCTTAGAGCAAACACCCAACAACAGTTGGTAAAACTACAGCTGACTTCTTCTTTCCCCAGTAATGATTTATGTGGTGCTAGGAAAGGCATAAATGTAGGCAGAGCTCATGAGTTATTGCAAAGCAAGAGCTCTGCTACTTACAGGAAGACGCTGCTACTTACAGGACAGTATGTATCAGCTGCAGCTGGCATAGTTCTCCTGAGCATTTGTCACTCAAAGTTCCAAAAATCAGGAGCCATCATAAAGCTATGTTTTACTAACAAATGCCAATTTTCCTTCAAAAATTGGTATAAATAAGGCTAAATAATTTTGTTTTTGTTATAAATTGTGCCATGGCATTTATCATATTTGATTCTTGATCAAAGTCTGTGTTTCCAGAGTCCACAACTGTTTTAAGTGCTTTGCCTTCATGTAAATGAGTATGATCACACACACACACACACACACACACACACACACACACACACACACACACACCAGAGGCATCATTAAATGTGAGGTTTCAGAAACCAGATAAGGAAAATAAAATAAGAAAGTGGAGGGTGGATATTGGAAAGTTATAGTGATAGCGCCACAAGGCAGAGGAGGGAGAGACATCAAGGTTGAGTTGGGTAAATAAATAAAAAGAATTCATGTAGGAGGAAAGTTGAGCAACTGCGAACTATTACATATTTATTTTAATGATATAAATAAAGGTTGAAGGCTGTGGGTGAAGTGATCTTTTAGAATCACACTGCAGCATTTCTGAGGTCATTGGAAAGAAGTCACAGAAGTAAAGGGAAATATGAAAGTTAGGCCAGAGGACACATGAAGGGTGAAATAGAAGTCCCAGGGGTGAAGCTTCACATTTCTTCTCTGGTACAGAATTTGTATGGGGAAGAGATCTGTCAGTTGCAAGAGAGGAAGTGACTAGAGGTACAAAGAAAGAGTTGCTGAACTCAGAGATTAAAAGCAAGCTGTGGAATTAGAATTTCTTTCTTCAGTGAAATGCTGCTGCTGGAACTGGTATTTTTTGCAGTTCTCTTCCCAGTTGGTGACACTCAGGATGGTAAGGGGAACTCTGGGTGCCCCCTGCAGTAGTGTGGGGTGTCTAGAAAAGACAGGCTACATTAACACAGGTGTACTTGGGGGTAACACTCTGACCTTTCCTGTCTCCAGGTCTCTTCCACCATTCTGGTTGTTGGGGCTGGAGCCTGAGGCTCTGAGGCTTTTAAATCATTCAGGCCTTCTGGGGTCTACAGACTTCAGTGTTTGTTTCTTGTATCATTTTAATAACATGCTTTCTCTTTCCCCTTTGCTTCTCTTCCTCTTCACCAATTTATCTTTCTTTTCTCCACAGCCTTCCAAGAACCAATCTCTTTCCATATCACTCAAATCACATCTTTTGCCAACAGTTCTTGGGTGAAATATCAGCTCTCAGGCTGGTTGGGAGATTTACAGATTCATGACATGGACAGTGATTCAGGCACTGCCATATTCCTGAAGCCCTGGTCTAAAGGCAACTTCAGCAATGAAGAAATGTCTGAAGTGGTGGAGCTATTTCGGGTCTATATCGTTGCATTCATTCGAGAAACAAAAGCCCACGTGAATGCCTTGCAGATGGAATGTGAGTCCAGACCTTATGCCTGGGGACTTTCTTAATGATTTGTCATGATTAAGATTACTTACTATCTTTTTGATCCTTCTCACCTCCTCTCATCTTTGCTGAAGTGTTTGCACATGGCTGTCTAGAGCAGTCTCTCTGGTTTGCTGCCTCTGCACTCATTTCTGATTGATGAAGAATTCTACCTTGAGGTCTGTTTGTCTGCTATAAATTCACCCTTTACTTTCCAATCAATGGGACCCTCCTTTTCCCTTTGGAAAGCTGTACTTGTGTCTCGCTCACACGTTCCTTATCCTGCACCTCTCATATGTCATTTAACCACTGTATATTTTTCTATAGTTTCTCCATCCTGACTTGAATGACCCTATGCATACTTTTCTTTCTATAACTGTAACTCCCGTAATTATTTAGTGTTACGAACCACACATTACTAATTTTATCTTCACTCACATCAAAATTCTAGATCCTTTCCACATCTTGTTCTTCTGTTTTCCTTGTACACAGACCCTTTTGAGATCCAGGGCATTGCAGGCTGTGAGCTGCATTCTGGAGGTGCCATTGTAAGCTTTTTGCAAGGAGCCTTTGGAGGACTGGACTTTGTGAGTTTCAAGAATTCTACTTGTGTTCCTGCCCCAGAAGGTGGCAGCAGGGCACAGAAGGTCTGCAAACTACTTGCTCCATATCACGATATCTTCTACACTGTGGAGAAGCTGCTTTATGAAACCTGTCCTCAATATCTCCTGGGTGTCCTTGAAGCAGGAAAGGCAGATCTACAGAGGCAAGGTTAGTCCTGTTGTGTCACATTTTCTGTCACTTTCTTCAAGTTCAAGTGTAGAAAGGTGTGTAAGTTGAGTGGGGTTCTCAGTAACTTATTTCATTCCCAAAGAATGAAAGGCTCACTATCCAGACTGAAGGTGTTTGGATAAACAAGATTTGTGTTAGAGTACTAATCTGATACTTTCCTGCTTTTTCTTGACATAGTAAAACCCAATGCATGGTTGTCCAGTGATTCCACTCATGAGCGTGGCCATCTGCAGCTGGTGTGTCATGTCTCTGGATTCTACCCAAAGCCTGTGTGGGTGATGTGGATGCGGGGTGAGCAGGAGCTGTCTGAAACTCAGAGAGGGGACATCCTGCCCAATGCTGATGACACATGGTATCTCCGAGTGACCCTGGATGTGGTGACTGCGGAAGCCACTGGTCTGTCTTGCCGAGTGAAGCACAGCAGTCTAGGAGGACAGGACATTGTCCTCTATTGGGGTGAGAAAGAAATGGGGCTAGAATGGAAATGGGGAGCCAGAATGGTGAAGGAATGGAGATAGAGAGGAGAAAACAGAGGAAATGGAAGGAAGGTGTTAGAGAAAATTTACTATTTAACTAGACAGAGCAAGACCTGGAATAATGTAGGATTTAAAGTAATATTTTCTGTTCTCTCTTCCAATTGTCAGGACACTCCAATCCCATTGGCTGGATCATTTTGGCAATAGTTTCCTGTTTAATCTTTTTCCTGTGTTTTGCATTATGGTGTTTTAGACGCTTGTGAGTTTTTATTATTTCTGTATTTTTACCATCCACCCTCTTAACCTTCCCACTTTTCAACAGTTTATAGCAAATTACCCTACATGTTTTCTTTATTTTAACTCTAATTTAGAAAATGTGGTGCACTACATATAACCTAAAAGTTACTGTATTTGCCATTTTTATTCTGTTAAATATACTCATGTAGTTTGCAATTATTATCTTTATTCATCACTAGATATCCTTTGATCTTTCAAAATTGAAACTATCTTCAGATTGAACAGCTCCTCATTTTTGGCTTATCCAGGCCATGGCAGTAACTGTTTCACTTTTACCCCTGTAAATTTGACTGTGTTATATGTGTCAAGTGAAATCCTTGATATTGTTTTGTTTTGGCTGAACTATTTCACTTTGCAGAATATCTTTAAAGTTTACTTATGCTTCTGCTTGCATCAAAATTTCCTTTCTTAGAAATACAAGTGGTAAATAAAAATTGTTGCTCAACATTGTTTAACATTGTTGTTCATTTGAGAAATGCAAATTAAAGAACACTGAGGTTTCAGCTAGCCCCCAAAACAATGATTATCATCAAGAAATCAACTAATAACAACTGGTGGGGCTTTGAGGCAAATGGAAACCTTTTTCAGTTCTGGTAGGAGTACACAGTGGTACAACCACTGTAGAAATCAATGTAGAGAGTCCTTAAAAACTATGATTAGAGATTTTATTCAACCCAGTTATTTCCCTTCTGGGTACTTTTCCAGAAGAATGAAAATCACCCTACCAGAGAAATATATACGCAAAATTTTTAATAGCTAAATCTTGGAGACAACCCAAAGGTCTATTAACCAAGGAATAGACAAGGTAGTGATATTATATAATCAGGGTACTGCTCAGCTACAAAGAAGGATAAACTTGAGGGTTTTATAGGTAAATGGGTATAACTTGAGGCCATACTCTTAAGTGAATAAATGAGACACATGTGTAAACATTATTTTATCTCCATAATATAGGAAACTGGAAGTGTAAATTAGATACTAAGTCTACAATAAATATTATGAAATGGAAAGAAATTGCTCCAAAAGGAAGAACAGCTGGGATAGGCAAAAAGAGAAAAGAAGGAAGGGAAAAGAAAAAAAAATAGACACACTCTCACAAACACACTCACAACTGTTAAGATAGTCATATTGTTAATTTCTTTTACTTCACTGGAGAGCAGTTTGTTGTATTGTTTGATCAGCTTTTCATGCTTATATCTATCTGGTAATCTGAGCAAGTATTTTGAAGATAACAAATCACAGTATATTAACCATTGTTAATTTCCTATTACATTGTTATGAAATTCTGTATCACTGCTTTTATTGTTTTTTTCTCTTTAAAATCAAAATTCCTTCCTTCTTTAAGTCAAATAATGTTCCATTGCCTGCATATACTGTGCATCCCCTCATCCATTTGTGAACACTCAAGCTACTCTGTGCATTGTGAATAATGCTGTGCATGTGCCGATAGCTTTTACTAAAAACTGTTTTGCTTGTGTTCTTACAGGCCATATGAAGGCATCTTGTGAGACCTCGTGATGTCATGTTTAGTGATTGGATTTGACATTGAGAAGCCCAGAAAGTTAGTTGTTAACACGGCAATCAATCTTGTTATATTTTTAGAAAATAACTACTACTTTTAATTAACAGTGTTCCTGTAGATTATAAGATAAACCACAATATATATCAATACAAAATGAAGATCTTATTTTGAAATGGTATCAACAGTAGTTCCACCCGAATGTCATAATTTATCAGATGTATTCCCTGCAGTCCTTAAAATGACAAGGTGTTTTATCTTTTTTATTTTGTTGATTTTGTGTGTCATTTTTATTTATTTTCAAGTAGGAAACTGAAATTACAGTACCATATCTTATTTATCTTGTTGAGAATGCATGTAGGTGGACTCAGTTTGTGAATATTTTGTTTAGGGCTATGCTTTTGTGTTCTTTTATTTTTTGCCATGATCTTGTCAGGTATTGATGTTAAGGAAGTTTTGCCTAATAAAATATGTTGAAAAATGTTCCCTCCATTTTGTCCCTGGAGTAGGCAGAAATGTACACTTTTGTTGTTGCAATGATTTGTCAGAAGAATTTTTAAATAAAGTTTTAACTTTTATAGACCATTTAAAATATTAAGTGTACCTCTATTCATATAATCCATTTGGATATGCATTTTTTGTCAGTATAGTAATTTGTAGTTTTTGTACATTGTTCAAGTTATCCAAATTACCCAGTTTATTGCTAATAGCTGGTTCATGTTTTATGATCTTGTCAATGTCTGTGAGACTTTTAGTGTGTAATTATTTAAACTGGTATTGAAAATTTGTTTTCCATCTCTTGATCTTTTTTTTTTTTTTTTTTTTTTGGTACCAGGGATCAAACTCATGACCTCATGCTCACCAGACAGGCCCTTATGCCACTGATCTAAATCCCTAGCCCTCATCTTTTTTATTCTTCCTTTTCTTTCCTTGGTACTGGTGATCAATTCTAGGCTGTTCATGTGAGGCAAGGACCCTATGACTGCACTACACTACCAGCCTACTCTTATTCTTTGTCTCACTGTGACAAGAGTTTTATCAATTCCTAAAGTTTTCAAAGAACTAACTTTTGACCATGTTGGGCCTGTCATATTATATTATTATTTTCTCTCTGTTCCTTAGACATTGCTTTTATATTTCTTTCACCACTTTCTCTTTTCACCTTCTTTGTCTTCTTTCTTTTTGTTATTTTGAGACAACATCTTGCTACTCCAGGCTGGCCTTGAATTTGCTTTGCAGCTCAGGCTGGTCTCAAATTCAAAGCTGTGTACTTGCATCAGCCTCCCTATTGCTGGGATAAGAGATGAGGGGCACCATGCTGACTAATATTTCTGATTTGTTAATGTAGATTCCTCAGTAACTTATTTTTAGCTGTTATTTTCCTGTTGGGGGTTTTAAGATTTAAAGGTTCTTTAAACATGCTTTTAGTGCATATCTAAAGTTTTGGTCTGCTGCATTATCTTTGTTCATGTATTTTCTAATTTCTACTTTTTAGCATGTTACGTATCTAGAATTTGCATTTCAGAACTTCCATACATGAGAAATTTTCTGGTTATCTTTTAATCACTGATTTTTTAAAATCGTGATTGCAGTGTTTCTGAGAAAATATTTCATTGTGTTCAGGCTTTTGAAGTTTATTTATATTGCTTTATGGGAAAACATTAGGTTTTAAATGAATGTTTCACATTCACTTAAAAAGAGTATGTTTCTCTTTGAAAAATTCTGAGTTTTCTTTTTTTCTTTTTTCTTTTTTTATCGGTACCAGGGATCGAACTCACGACTGCCTGCTTGCAAGGCAGGTACTTATGCCACTGAGCTAAATCCCCAGCTAAATTCTGAGTTTTAAATATATCATGAAGTCATGCTGTTTAAATCTTATACTTAGTGATTTCTTTGTATTCATAGAGGTATATTAAAAACTGTGAAAACTGAGCACTGTAGCTGTCTCATTTTTTTGTGACGTGTTTTACTTTCTGACTTGATATATTCTATCCCATACAGAAATGTTTAGAGATATTACAGCTTCCTCATGCTACATATCCTCTTTTATCTATAATGATGTTTCCTTTCTTTTAAATTGACTGCTGGAAATCATAGTAGCTTTCCCAGGGTCCTTGGGGTAAGGGTATTCACAGTGTACCTTTTCCCATGTAATAGGTTACTTATGAATATGTCTCATGTAATAGCTTACTTATGAGATATATGAATTTCTACTCAATTTAATAAACTTTATATTTTAGTTATTTAGTGAATTTTATTTCATAGAATTAATGATGTGTTTGTGTTTCTTTATTTAGAAGAGAATAACATCAAATGAGACAAAACAAGATAGAGTCAATCAAAACAGAAGGCTCGGCATAGTACATAACCTAAAAAAATATAAGGAGATCAATGATGGCTACCATAATGCCTCCTGTTATCTTCAAAATAATTGCCCATATTGTCTGGCAGTATAAAATTGAACAAAACAGTACAGAAAAAAAAAAACAAATAAAAACAAAACATTGGAGATATTGTAGCACTTCAAATGAAGATAATAGTCCAACCAGAATGGGTATCATAGTGTATCTTATTGTCCTCAAAGTAGTTGCCTATACCGTCAGACTTGATACTATCAAACTAAACAGAATAGAACACAATCAGTCAAAATAAAATAGTGATAGCAATCCAGGGCTTCAAATCAAGTTAATAGGAAATCAAAAATGGTTACCATAATATATCCTGCTATCTTTGGAATAGCTGTCCATGCCATCAAATTTAATCCAAGTAGACAAACAGAAATGAAATAAAATCAAACCAAACAGAACAATGAAAGCAGTATGTGTTTCAAATTACAATAATTGATGAACAATGGCTACTACCTTCCCTTTTTATACAATTCCTCCGCTTGCACTTTCCTGGGATGCATTGTACATTTTGGAACCCACTAACTCTTTTAGTTTTTAATTTTAAAGATGATAAAACAAAAGAGAGCAGTACAAAGCAAAACAGAACAGGACAATGCAAGCAACACAGCACTTCACAACAAGACAACTGGACATCAGTAGCTACCATAATGTCTGTTTTCTTTGAAATAGTTGATCATATCTTTACATGAATAATATGAGACATAACAAAAGAGTATAAAATAATTCAAAAAATGAAAGCATTATAGGACTTCAAAACCAAATAACAGGAAATCAACAATGTCTACTGTAATATTTCATTTTCCTCAGAAAATTTGTCTATACTATCACACATAATAAAATCAATAAATACCGAAGAACAAAAGCATGGTAGGACTTGAAAACAACATGATAGTAAATCAGCAGTGGCTACCATAATGTCTTGTTCTCTTTAAAATAGCTATCCATACCATCACACATAATATGATCAAACAAAGCAGAATAAAATCAATCAAACCAATGAAAGCATTATAAGACTTCAAAGCAAAATAAGAAGCC